AAAAGTAGTAAAAATATTTATATTGAAAAAGTAGAAAAAATCTCTCCAGCTTCGAACTGTAGCAGCTGCATAAGTAAAATTATTCTGCCAGGAAAAAAAAATCGTCAGTAACGACACAATCAACGCAGTGCCTTTGGAAAAAAAGCGACTGCGCATTTAAGATTTGGGTGGTACCAAATTATGAGAGAAGTTCCAGACTAGCATTACTGCACAACACAACAGAGTAGAGGATAAAAGCATATAATGGTGGTCTTTTTTATTGCGAAATGGCGTACACAGTAGCGTTGTTTTCAGGTTAAACTTTCATATTTGTATGTTTCTGGATTCTTAAGTTTTCCGTCGGAATCTGGAAAAATTCTTTTATTTTCTTCCTTACTTTTTGCTTCTCAAAGGTTTCTATAATTATTTGCCAGGGCGGAGTTAAGTAGTTCAGATACTCAATTTCAGTATGTTTAACAAACTGTGCAGAATTATTTTATATACTTCAGATATTTCACACAAATTATTTATTATGTCTAAAGTGCATTGTATAAATTATATACGAATTTTTTTATATACTGATTGAAGTTTACTAATGAAGCATAAGGACTTTATGTGGGTCTCTTAAACTTCACGGAAAATCGATATCAAAATTTTAAATAAAAAATTTAAAAAATGGAACATGAACTTAAGTGAATATCAATATAATGGCATTTAAACTTTAGTTAAAGTCCTTTGATTTTTGAGATATACTAAAAACAGATCATATGAATTAGTTAGTTGTTATCAAAATAAGATAAAAAAAATAGACGAGAAAAATAATATAAGCACTATTGAAAATTTGTTGTTATTTTACAACTTTTTAAACGTTTATAATTCCAAACTTAAATTAACTGGGATATATGTGATAGACATACTTCTTAAATTTTACATATGAAAATGTTTACGTTAATGTCATAAGATACCTAAGACAACCGTTTTTCATACTAATACTATATTCCGTGATGCACCTTATGCAACGTTATAGCGTTCGTATTTTGGGATGCGCGTGGTATTTTTTTCATTAACATGGGCTAACTAGTGCATTTAAAGGATGAACAAAGTCCTCTTTCACTAAGATAATGTTCTGTATCACAAATAATTGACTACCAAAGCAAATTGCACAAATTGTGCTTTGAATTGCTTCCGCAGACATCGTATACGTTAGATTTGACCCACAGCGATTACTATCTGTTCGCTGAGCTCAAAAAAGTGCTCCAGGAAAAGAGTTTTGGCTCTAATGAAAACTGAACTGTGGCTAAGAATCATCGTTAGTGGTTAGTATGCGCTATCGAGCCACTTAAATGAATTCTTCCTTCAAATGAAGATAGATACGGCATGGGATGGCTAGGGCTACTGCAGAATAGTGCAACATGTTATACTTTATTAATTCGATGAACTTATTGAGGGAAAATTTTGATGACAGTATTATCGCCAGACTCGGACTGCAGTTGTTTGGACTATTTTGAGTAAAGGTGCTTGAAGAAAGTGATCTATTTGGGGATAATACTATTGAGCTCAGCACAAATTGTACTAACAGTAAAATGCATTCTAAAATGATTGAAGAACATATGGGATGCATTTCCTCAAATTCTGACAAGGTAGCTGCTCAAAATCACTATTTATCAATGAATTAGAAAATTAGACAAAATTACTAATTTTATTTATTTGTAGTACTAGATAGATGTTAAATTTAATATCTATACCTTATAAAAAAATATTATTCATATAAAAAATTAATATGATTTATTGATTATATTGCATATGTTTATAGTGTAATTGTTTATATAACGTGGAAAGAATTTCATATAAACACCCTTGAAAAATATGTTTACATGTGAGATATATAAGAAACATATGTTTCTCTATATTATATATTGAGAAAAATACTCATATGATATTAAAACTATACTTTAACGTCCCTATTAGAATTAAGAAAACCGACAAAATGTCGATTATTAGGAACTTTTATAGTTATTTTAACTATTTGACTCAAAGCGGATATCTGAATACTTGAGGGAACAGTTCGCACATATCTGGTTATTCGGATAATTTGAAAAGTTCGAAAAACCCGATTACAAATAGCACTGAATTAAGTACATACTCTTAAATTATAAATATATATGATGATGGGCATTTGGCAGTATGGTCGAAACAGCTATATAGTCAGCTAAAAATTCACTTAATTAAAATAATATAAAAAACAATTTTTGTTGTTGTAGTTCCCTATTTTTCAAAATCTCTTTATATATATAATTCATCAAAATTATTTTTTTCGATTTTATTTTTATTTTTATATTACTCCAATCAATTTACCTGAGAGTCTTTCAGTCCTAGTCGTTCTGCTAACTTTTTTCTATCGGGCTTACTGATATATTTCTGCTGCTGAAAACGTTTCTCCAAGCCTTTCCGCTGTGAATCTATCAAATAAATCAATCGAATTAATCACTTAAACCACACACATAATTACTACTCAAACTGTAGTTAAATTCGCACTTACCGGAAAATACGGCACGTCGCATCATACCACGTCGTGGCTTGCCACGCGTTGAATGGGCCCATGGGAAACCTTGGCCTGGCGGTAGGGGAAACACTTGTGCACCAACTGTAATTAAACGGAAACAATGCGTGAGAAAGCACTTGTTAGTACAAGAGCAACAAAAGGCATTCGGAGTTAACAGACTGAAATGGAAGGGATATGCATGCATGCAGGAAGGATACATATATATGTTAAACTGCAGTGCAATAATTACAGTTGCATTGCTTTAATTGTTGCATGCGTATCTCTATAACTGTGTGGCAGGTTGACAAAAATAGCAAAATCTGCAGCACTGGAATAACAATAGATTACGAGCAAGCGGTGGGAAGAGGACTAATAGACATTATGGTTAGTATAGTCATTTGCTGATGTAGGTCTAACTGCACAAACTATGTAGATATGTACTTACCACTCATGTAGGGATTTCGACAATGCGCCAACAGGGAATGCAAATGTGGATGATTGAGACTATGCGGCAGGAAGGGTGTGGGTCGACTGGGCATTGGTTTAGCTATCACTTGATGTGCTGTATGCGCTGGATGTGGGTTAAGAAGTTGCTTATCCTGTTGACTTTGAACAAGTCTTCGATTGTTATTATCCTCAATGGTGTTATTGTCATTGTGCAAAACACCTTCATGCGGTCTGCAGTCGTTGTTGTTATTGTTATTGGTGTTATTGTTGCTACTGGTTATTGTGCCGGTGGAGTGATTGTCGCTATCACTAATTGTGCTACCAGGTGATGATGACGATGTGGCTTGCGGTTGACAACTATTACCGTTGGTTTGCGTTAGAAATGCAGGATGTGGAAAATGTGTGTGATGTATGAAGTTCTGTTGCAGATAAGGCCAGATATGTTGTGGTTGCATGAATTCTAAAAATTTAATAAAAGCACGTGAATACAAGTATTTTTGTAAAATAAAATTTAGAAATAATTTTTAAAAATTTTTAAATTATTCTTAGTTATGTTTTGTATTTAATATTTTTGTTTTGTAGTTGTAATTTAACGTCAGTAATGACGGAAGTGACTATTTTATTAAATAGAAACTATTTTTTATATATAAGAAATAATTCCGAAATCACTGATGATGGATATTTGGCCATACTCGAAACAGCTGTATGGTCAGCCAAAAATTAAATTAATTAAAATAATATAGAAAAAGAATTTTTGTTGTTGTAGTTCACCAGTTTTCAAAACCTCTTTTTGTGTTAAAAACCACAAATCATTCGAATTGATAAATAAGGCTAATGATATTAATTTATAATCATAATTTAATGAATGGTACAAAAGCTTTTAGATATATCGAGAGGGCATTAAAGATACTTATAGTCTAATATGGAAAACCACGTGAGAAGTAAACAGATTGTGTTTATCAATAAATGGGTTACTATTGCAGAGTGTGTTTGAGAAATTGAAATATTCTTTAATTTTTATATAAAAAAAAAACGAATATTACTAATGTTTTCGAAGAGAAACAAGTAGCAACAAGATTTGTTCCAACAAGAATGCATATTGCCATGCATATTCAACAGTTTTTGACGAAATATAACTGTAATGTGGTAATTACTTATTTTGCAGGTAAGTGATCTTGTGATTTATTTTTTATTTTCCAAACTTAAAAAGATAGTCTTGTATTGTTTAACAATATATTATCGTAGAGCAGGTTAAAAATTTTTTTTCGCAAATTAATAGAGACTAATGAATTTACATAAATAATTGCAATAATTTTCAACGTGTTTCCTTTTTTTAATAATGAGTTCTATACATTTTAATAGGTTCCCTTAAATATATTTCATCTCATACTATATTTCCATAAAAATGAAAAATTAATCTGGCAACATTCCGACGTATTTCTTCCGCTTAAATTTTCTGAGGGCACAAATTTTCACTTTGAAGTGTCAAATCGCAATCAGAACAATACATGATAATTTTAAAACCAAAAATAACAGTTGAAGGAACATAAAACAATATTACAAACACATGCACGCATACATACATTTGCATATAATTAAGTTTTCACAAGTGCTTCCGGCGGAAACGCACACCTTAAATGGCGCCTTTGTGTGTAAAAACTTTTCAAAGTTTAAAATTTTCTAATTAAACACCAAAAGACAACACACACAGGACCTTTTTAAGTACAAATATATGTGTGTTTATACAGGGATATATATCCTTGTACATATATATGTGTGTTTGAATATATCTTTACATAAATGTATTCACTCCTACGTACTCACATTTTCCATATAATATATGTGCGTTCTTGCGTTCTTGCGTTTGTTAATATTGTTTTTGTTGATTTTAATTCGATTAGACAGAAACAATTAACGAATTAACGCCTCCTTTGAGTTAGTAGTATTAATAAATCGCATTATTTCGAAATTTGTTTAGGAATAAACACATATAAGGTATCTGCAGATATCCATATGTATATATATCCGTAAATACATTTTAACTGAAATTTGTGGAATATATAAAAGAACTAAGCAGCAGGTAATCTACGTAAATAATTTCACGGATTGTTAAATCTTTTGTTTTACGTTTATTCTAACACTTTTTACTATTACATAGATTAAGGTATTTACATTTATATATATATGTATATATCTCTGAACTACATATGGTAAATATGTACACATGCTGAAATTTATGTATGCTGAAAACATCGTTAGAGACTTTGAGATACTTAATTACCATTTGTGTCTTCTAATGAGCAAACAAATTATCGTATAATCGAGGTTCAGTGGCGTTGAAGGATTTGAAAGTTCTAGGTATCAAAAGGGAAAAGTATTAGTCTCAGTTATATAATTAAAACACTTGGCATATATTTAACCGAGCACAGAAAATATTAGAAATTTTTGGGTTATTAAAATTGAAATCTACAAAGAAAATCTACTAATGTGGAGTGCTGTGAGTAGGAACAATTAATGGCTTTGCTTTTAGTCTAAAATAGATAAAATAATTTTTAACATTATTTTTTACATCAGTCGCTTATTTCTTTTAATAAGAAGTCAATAACTATAAATAAAATGATGATAATTAATATTTTCACTGACTAATAAGATATTACATGACATAGCCCTTATTATGCTTTCTACAAAGATTTCAAATTTAAGTTGGAATATCTTATACTAAAGCTATTAACAAGAAAATTCAAAAGTATTCGAAAAAATATATTAAACTGTAAAAATATATGAGATACTCATACATTTTAAAGCTACTTTTAAGAGTGCTTTTTATATATTCGCACTTTAAACTATATTGTTTAATAGCATTTAATTGATATTTCATAGCCCTTTTTTTC